TTGCTGTTACTGGTAATGCAGTACTGTGTAGGCAAAAGAAAAAAAAATGCATTGACCCATGTCACTAAAAAAAAAAAAAAATCAGTCTTACTGATCTGATAGAGACTGCTGAAACTCCCTAGACTATAGCCCTTAATCACCCTTCAGGCCTGGAATTGAACTTTGTCCTGTGGCTTCCAGCCAAACAATAAACCAAACAAACCAAACTCACAGCCACTGAGTTGGATTCGACTCACAGCGACCAAGTAGACTGCCCAACCTTCCTTCCAAGGAGTGGCTGGTGAGTTTTAACTACCAGCCTTCTGGTTAGCAGTCAAGTGCCTTAGGCACTACACTACCAGAGCTCCCAGCCAAACAACAGACAGGCCTATAAGGTGAATAATTCACCAGGTAGGTATACTCCTAACAATCAACCATGGGAGATCAGAACAGTAGCATTTGCACAGGGAGACAGCTCAGAGGGCAGGAATGCATAGGAAAGGACACGGGGAAAAGGTAACCATAGGTAAGATAGCTAATATGTTGTGGGGACTGGAATCAATGTCATGAAACAAAATATGTACGAACTGTTGAAGGTAAAAAGAATTTGCTGTGTAATCTTTCACCCAAATCATAATTTAAAAAAAAAAACTCACCAGCTGCTCCACAGAGAAACATGTGGCAGTCTGTTTTCATAAAGATTTACAGCCTTGGAAACCCTATGGGTGGTTCTACTCTGTCCTCTACAGTGGCAATGAGTAGGAACCAACGAGGTGGCAGTGAGTTTTATTGTTGTTTTGCTTTCTCACTTCATAATACTTTAGGATCCAAATTTTTTTTATCTGGTTGATGAGTATTTTCCTGAGATGTCTAATGTGATTTATGAACCATCAAAAATTGAGATCTAGCTCTTACAGTTCTTCTCACTGCAGAGAATTCATTCCCTGATATATACAGATACAAATAAATGAAAATAAAATCTAGCTTAATTCTTTGGTTCTCTAAAGCAGAGAGGTAAGAAATCTTTCTTAGTTCTATCTATCAAGTGGTACTGACCCACAAGACAGAAAAATACAACTGCCTGTAACAAATAAAGAAAAAACACCACAATTTAAAAGTCTTCTTTTAATAAGAAAATAAAAAAGCATTCTATGAATCTAATTTTATTTAGGATCAGAGAACATAAAATTCTATCCATTAATTCTATCAGGGTCAGTCAAGAGATCCTGGCTAGGAAATAAAGCAACAAGTAAAAAGATACACATGCACGCACTCACAGATTTTATGTGATTTCTGACTAGAGAAATGAGGTAAATATTTGTTACTGTCATACTGCATTTTGACAATCCTAGGCATAAACATACAAAATTATGATTAAAATTAAATATTAGATAATTTTTGAGCTACAGGCACACTACTCTTCATTTAAAACAGACGAGTTAATCAGAAATAGCAAAATATTATGTAAATGCAGTATTTTTCCAAATACTTTTAAAAAATTTACATGTTGATTTTAAAAGAGACATCACTATTATTTTCAGATTATCAAGGTTTTAAAATCACTTTTTATATTAAAAATAGGAACTGTTTGACTTAATTTCATTAAAAATATTCATAGTAAATCAAAGTAGATAAGTATGTCAGTAACCTCTTGGTCTGTATCTTGAATACTTTCAGGTGAGACAGAAGAACATGGTGCTTCAAAACCCTGAAATGAAAAGCAATTTCTTTAGTTAAGAATGAAGCATATACCTAGAGTAAGATTTTCAGCCTCAGCACTACAGACATTTGGGGCCAAGCAATTCTTTGTTATAGGACTTGTCTTGACAGCCTCTATCTACTAGATATCAATAGCACCCTCCCCTCTATACCTCCCCTGGTAGCCTGGTAGTAGTGACAATCAAAACTATCTCCAGACATTGTCAAATATCCTAAGGGGCAAAATTGCTCCCAGATGAGAGCTAATCATCTAGAATAAGAAAAGTCTCATTCTTTCAACACATGAGCATTGCCAGAAATGCTTTAGGGTTTCCTCATTCATACACACATTGCTAAAAATATTCATATTCCAAGAATAAAACTATATGGCCCCTTAAGAAACAGAAAAGAATCATGGAAAAAGTCAATTATTCTTCTAGAATAGCTGAACCATTTCTAAAAGTCACATGACAACTTGAGGACTATAATATGGGGAAAGTTTGGAAAATGCAGTTTCATTATAAGTGGTTAGAGCATTAGGGATTGTTTTGAACATCTCTCCACAAATTATACTTTTTCGTTGCCATTTTTTGCTGAGTGGATGAGACCTATCTGACCCTACAGGTGAGCTCAGCAAAAGCACTACTAGACCAAGTCCTTTTCTAAAAATAAAAAGTTCCTAAGATAACTCTAGCATGTATTTTACAGGAAGCTATTAAGTTAAGCTCTGACTACTAGCTGAAAGGTTGATGGTTAGAATCACCCAAAGGCGCTATAAAAATGACAATGGCATGCAGAGGCATTTTAACTCCTTTAACTTCACAACAAGGAGGAGGATCAGCTGAAGGCTGATTCCTATAAGGCAGTTCAGACATGCCTCTACTCTCCAACCTTTTAACAATTCTGATACCAACCATCCCTCCCACAGCACTCTGCCTCTCTGCTGGGTCCAATAATTCATTGCATAGAACTCACAAATACTTCTACTTATGGGGTTTATTAATGGAGTTGTTGTTGTTGTTATTTGCCATCGAGTCAGCCCTGACTCATAGCGACCCCTCCTTGGGTTTCTGAGGCAGTATCACTACGGAAGTAGGAATGCCCAACCTTCCTTCCGAGAAGTGGCTGGTGGGTTTGAACCGCCAGCCTTCTGGTTAGCAGTCAAATGCCTTAGGCACTATGCTACCAGAGCCCCTATTAACGGAGTAAGAGGTTACAATTCAGGTTCAGGAATACTCTTCAATCACAACAGCTTCTTCTCAGCAGTGTCCGTAAGCACACCTCTCTTTGATCTTTGGCCTCTAGGTCTGGCCTCTGCCCTGCTCAGCCAAGTGATACAAAGCTCTTTTATCTCTGCTGATAAATGCCGAGAGGCACCCCACTCTGCTAGTAAGCGTTGGCCCAAAGACATTCAGCTTTCTCCCTCCATGGGCCAGGAAGCCCAGTGCTCTGTCTCATACCAGTCTCTTGGTTCTGTTGCTTCTGCTGCTTCTGTTTCTCGGCCACCACTTCTCACTGTCTCAGCAAGCTGTTACAGCTCTGTCTCCTGGATTAAGAAGGTTTAGCGCAGAGATCTTGTTTCCAGAGGATGTGCTCCACTCTTGGCTCTTCTTTCTTTTTTTTTTTTTTTTTAATTTATTGTGATTTGGGTGAAGATTTACAGAGCAAATTCACTTTTCATACAGCAGTTCACATTTACTTTGTCTCATGTCATTGACCACAGTTTACCACAATGCAACAGCTCCCCTCCCACTTTCTCCCCAGTTACCTCTTCCCAGTGTCCATCCCTCCATACTCTCCTGCCCCCTGAGCTGTCTCCCTGTGCATAAGCTGCCCTTCTTTCTCCCATGATTGTTCTCTCCAGGGCGTGTGTCTACTTGAGGTAAATGTTTAACTCACATGCCTGTACTTGTTTGGCTGGAAACCACAGGTGTGGGTTCAATTCCGGACCTGAAGGGCAGCTAGGGGCCATAGTCTCAGTGGTTCCACCTTGGCTCTTCTTTCTTGATGGCAGCAAGAACACCCCTTTCTGCCTCTGGGATAGCTCATTTTAAGCCTAGCAAGATGGCAAAATTGACCAATCCCTACATGCACCTCATATTTGCATAATCCTACCCAGTCATTTGCTGGGAGTTACAAAGACTAGGACTAGAGAGGCCATATTAAGTAATTCACTGAACCACAGGCACCATGGAAGATAAGTCTGGCTATCTGCTTCTGAAAGGTCAATCCCTTGAAAACTCTATGAGGCCACTGACTCAAGGCAACTAATAACAATAATTTATGGAATACATTACCATAAACCCATAGCCATAACTTGATTCTGACTCTTTGTGGACACAGTAGAACTGCCTCATAGGGTTTTCAAGACTGTAATCTTTACAGAAGCAACCTGCCTCATCTTTCTCCTTGCTGGTGGGTTTGATACCATCAGCATTTCAGTTAGCAGCCAAGCTCTTTAACCACTGCACCACCAGGGTTCCTTAGGTGTAAATACAGGCACTCTTTAAACAAGTATATCATATGCAGAAATGCTTTTACTGGTAATTCAGCTTCTACCCTAACTTCCCAATATTAAACTTCACATGTCATAAAACCATATACACACAAGGGCCTTTACAGCTTTACTAATCCATGACCACAGGATTTAATTTTCCTTTTGCCATCTGACTTTAAAATCTCACTTGATGTTTAAGGTTTGTGTAGACTAAGTACCAACCAAACCAGAAATTATTATCAGAGATTTCCCCTATTCATGACAGTCTATATCTTTTTGTTCACTTCCTTAGATCGCTACCACCCTTTACCCTTTGTCCACGTGCCACTTCCAGTGACTTCAATGAACTCTCTGTCATCAAACAATCCAGAAAAGTTCATGTCAATTGTCCCTAAAAACCTTCTATTACAAACAAAGTCTTAGTGTGCATTTAACTGTCTGCCTTTCCTTACCATATTTTATGTTAACCAAACGAAACCCATTGCTGTTGAATCAATTTCAACTCACACTAACCCTACAGGAGACAGGGCCGAACTACTCCATTGGGTTTCCAAAGTTATAAATCTTTACAGAAGCAGACAGCTTCATCTTGAATTCAAAAGCATCAACTCTTCTTCTGTCTTCTTTGTTCATTGTCCAGCTTTCACATGCATACGAGGTGACTGAATATACCATAGCTTGGGGTAGGGATACCTCTTTGCTCTTCAACACTTTAAAGAGGTCCTTTGCAGCATATTTGCCCAGTGCAATATGATTTCTGATTTTTTGACTCCTGCTTCCATGGATGTTGACTATGGATCCAAGTAAAATGAAATCTTCTGACACTGTCAATCTTTTCTCCATTTATCATGATGCTGCTATTGATCTGTGAAGATTTTTGTCCTGTGTTGAGGTGTAATGCATACTGAAGACTGTTGTCTTTAATCTTCATCAGTAAGTGCTTCAAGTCATCTTCACTTTCACAAGCAAGGTTGTGTCATCTGCATATCACAGGGTGTTAATGAGTCTTCCTCCAATCCTGATGATGAGTTCTTCTTTATCTAGTCCACCTTCTTGGATAATCTGCTCACCACAGAGACTGAATAAGTATGGGGAAAGGATACAATCCTGACACACACCATTCCTGATTTTAAACCATGCAGTATCCCCTTGTTCTGTTCAAATGACAGCTTCTTGGTTCCTCATGAACATAGTTAAGTGTTCTAGGATTCCCATTCTTCTCAATGTTATCCATAATTTGTTATGATCCGCAAAGTCGAATGCCTTTGTATAGTCAATAAAACACAAACAAATATCTTTCTGGTATTCTTAGTTTTTAGCCAAGATTCATCTGACATCAGCAATGATGTCCCTCATTCCACATCCTCTTCTGAATCCAGCTTGCATTTCTGGAAGTTCCCTGTCAATATACTGCTGCAACCATTTTTTAATTATCTTCAGCAAAATTTTACTTGCATGTGGTATTAATGATATTGTTCAATAATGTCCACATTCTGTTGCATCACCTTCCTTTGGAATGGGCACAAATATCAATCTCTTCCAGTCAGTTGGCCTCCAGAGCTGCATGTGTTTGTCAAAACATCTCAATGGGTATTCCATCAATTCCTGGAGCCTTGTTTTTCGTCAACTCCTTCAATGCAGCTTTGACTTCTTCCTTCAATACCATTGGTTCTTGATCATATACTACCTCCTGAAATAGTTGATTATCAACCAATTTTTTCGTTACAGTCTATTTCTTCCATCTTCTTTTGCTGTTTTCTGTATCATTCAATATTTTGCCCATAGAATCTTTCAATATTGCACCTCAAGGCTTGAATTTTTTCTCCACTTCTTTCAGCTTGAGAAATGCAAACCATGTTCTTCCCTTTTGATTTTCTAACTCCAGGCCTTTGCACATTTCATTATAATATTTTGTCTTCTCAAGCTGCTCTTTAAAGTGTTCTGTTCAGCTCTTTTATCTTGTCATTTCTTCCATTTGCTTTAGCTACCCTCTGCTCAAGAGCAAGTTCCAGAGTACATTTTGGTCTTTCCTTCCTTTCCTGTCTTTTTAATTACCGTTTGCTTTCTTCATGGATAATGTTCTTGATGTCATCCCACAGTTTATCTGGTTTTTGCTCACTGGTGTCCAATGCTTCAAATCTGTTCTTCATTATGGTCTTTAAATTCAAGTGGGGTATAATCAAGGTCTTATTTTGGCTCTTGTGGACTTGTTATAATTTTCTTCAGCTTCAATTTGAACTTGCATGTGAGCAACTGATGGCCTGTTCCACAGTCAGCTCCTGGCTTTGTTCTGGATGAAGACATTGAGCTTCTCCATAACCTCTTTCCACAGATGTAGTTGACCTGATTTCTATGTATTCTATCTAGCAAGGTTCACATTTATAGCCACTGTTGATGTTGTTGAGAAAAGGTATTTACAATGAGTAAGTCTCTGTTTTGCCAAATTCTATCATGCAATCTTCCAGCATCATTTCTATCACCAAGGCCATATTTTCCAACTACCAATTTCTGTTTCCAACTTTTGCATTCCCATCACCAGTAATAATCAATACATCTTGATTGCATGGTTGGTCAATTTCAGACTGCAGAAGTTGGTAAAAATCTTCAATTTCTTCATCTTTGGCTTTAGTGGTTAGTGCGTAAATTTGAATAATGGTAGTATTAACTGGTCTTCCTTGCAGGTGCATGGGTAGTATCCTGTATTGTACTTCAGAATAGAACTTGAAACATTCTTTTTGATGATGAATGTGACACCATTCTTCTTCAATTTGTCATTCCCAGAACAGTAGATCAGATGATTGTCTGATAAGGAGCTCTGCTGGTATTGTGGGTAAGGCATTTGGCTGCTAACCAGGAGGTCAGTAGTTCAAATCCATCAGCTGCTCTGTTGGAAGAAGATGAGGCAATCTACTTCTGTAAAGATTTACAGCCTTAGAAACCCAATGGGGGTTGCTGTGAGTCACAATCAACTTGATGGCAGTGAGTTCTCAATCTCTAGTACCTAGAAAAGTACCTTTAATTGATGTTTGATAAATGAATGAATTCTTACCTCACAGACTTGTAAGGATTAAGTGGGATGCTATATATGAAAGTGTTCTATAAATCATAAATCTTTAGAATATTAATTTACAATGATGGGAAGAAGATGTGCATCCTGAGAGGGGTCTATATCTAAAGATTATAAAACCCAAGAAATAGAAAAAGCTATCGTCTCTTTAGGAATGCATAATCAGATTACTAAATGCAGAAAATACTATTATTTCCTTATAAAGTACACTTATGACTTCAGAAATATATCTATTGAGGAATTAATGAGAAAAACAAAACAACAAACATAGTGTTAAGACTACTGTTAATCATATGCCCAAGGTAAGGATAATATTTATTTGCTGCTCTTATATCTAATGATTTTACATCAGATATGGTTACAATCAAAGGACTACTTTATAAAGTGTTTTAATTCCAATTAACTGGTAAGCAGTCATGCAAAAACTGCTTTCCCTACTAGTTGATATTGGTGCTATGTATCACTTTTGGTTTTGATTTGTGCAGTAATTCTATAGAGAAAGGCAAGAGAATGAATGAATGAATAAGTGAATGAATGAATAATCAAACAAACAAACCCTAAAATGCACTACAGGGATTTCTCATACTGTTTTTTAGATGAACAGCATAAGGGGAACACCAACAATTATCATTGAACATTTGGCAACTTCAAGTTCCTTTCTTCCATTCTATTCTGGAGAATTGGTTATAATACCTAAAAGAAAAACTGGAGTTCTTTTCCTCTATGAAAGCAGCAAAAAGAAGGAACACAACTCTTTACCTCTTTGGGACCCTTCAAGTTCATTTAAACTAAAGGCACGCTCTCTCAAGCTCTTCTGGCTTATGATCTCTCCATTTTTTCATAAGGAATACCTAATTTCTGCAGTCTGTAGTTTTAATACCTAAAACCAGATAGGATCAACCGCCCCTATTTAAAAGACACTGTCTCTCGGTTTCAGAAATTCTAAGGTTCTGAAATTCTAAAGTTCTAAAAGCTTTCTGTAAAGCAAAAAATTTCTGTGCCATAGAAACAATACTAGAAATTAGGTTCTCAAAGTAGTCCACAAATGCCATTTAATACATAATTTAGAAGCAAAATTAGATGTACCAAGTTTTTTAGCCTGGATTTCTGCACGTGCAATTCCCTCTGCCTAAAATATCTCTGCTTCTCCCATCCCACTCCACTTCACTTGAAAGAATGCTACTCATTCTTTACTTCTTAGTGTAAACACTACCTCCTGTAGTAAATCTTTTAAAACTAATTCCTCCACAGTATACCATGATGTTAATGTCCTATGTATACCATATTATATGATATGTGATTGCTTATTTGTCTCTTCATATGAATGTCTATAAAAACAAAGATTGTATGACTCTTACAAGCTGTATTATTACAGTGACACTCAAATAATTTGTTAAAGAAATGAACTCTTCAGAATGTTAACCCAAGTGTTCCCTGTACTTGGGGTTAGAGAAGAGCCTACGGGATTATTATACAAAAGACTATCTACAACTGTTTTGTTTCCTGCCCACCCTCACATTTTTCACAAATACCCTTCAATTATGTCCTCTGATACTTGCCAGGATTCCTTCTTAAAAAGTTGCATTCACCCTGTGGCTCAACTTTCAGCCAAATGAGAGACAGTCCTGTATAAGGTGAATAGTAACACCAGGGAGGTGCATACTCATTAGAACAATCAACCATTCGAAATCAAAAGGGCAGCATTTGCCCAGGGATAAAACTCAGAAGTCAGGAAGGGATAGGAAAGAAGGACAAAGGGAAATGGTAAACACAGGGCGAAAGTGGGAAAAGAGATGTAACGTAACATTGTGGGGATTGCAATCAATGTCACAAAACAAAATGCATGAAATGTTGAAGGGAAAATCAATTTGCTCTGTAAACATTCACCAAAATCACAATCTAAAAAATAATGAAAGTAGGGTTTACGGCAGCAAAATAAAGGAACCAACACATATCTCCATGACTAAATTTGAATCAGCCTTCTATCATCATAATCAGTAATTAAAACAAGTCAAACCTGATATATTAGAACACTTGGCTAAAACCTACAAGCCTCATTTTATACCACCTTACCTGGGTTAGATTTTTACTAGAACTTGACTCATTACTTTCTTGATGCTCATGATACTTTCCTTTCCATTTACGAACAGTCTTACATGTAGAATCTGAAAATAAAGGTTCAATTTTGTGCCTAGTCAAATTTAATGAAACCTGGGAGCTTTCCAGGCATTCTTCTTCCTTCTGCTTAGTCTCTGACTTGTTAGCATCTAAACTGAAGACATCTTCTTTTACAAGCTTCTGGAGGGTATCACGGGATTTTACAGGGATTTTGAAACTGATCTTCCTTCTTCCAGGTTTTAGTGCTTCCTTAATTATTTTGTAGGAAGTATTATCCTGAGAAAATTCATTTATCTTGCATTTCTCCAAGATGCATCTTTCTGAACTGTCTCTAAATTTATTGTACCTTTCTTTCCTGAGTTCTTTCATCTTCTGGCTCTGAGAAAGTAAATGATGCCATTTTTTTTCATTTGCCCGACCTTCAGTTTTAGGCTTTACATCTTTGACAATCTTAGGACTGCTGAGGTTTTTAAGTTCATGTTTGAGCTTACTCTGAACATTTGTCAGTTTGATATCTTTCAGTTTAAAATCTGAATATTTATTTATATTTGTTTTAGTTCCACTTAAAGAAAGATTCTGTGAAATAATTTGATTATTTGTTGAAAATGATGCTTCAGGGAGTTTAACGGGTTCTTGAGATGAAGAACTGGTATTTGGCATCTTTCTTGAAGTATCATCGGTTGCTACACTTAATCTGTAAAACACACAAAACCTAGGTTATATTACATGTATACATAAGATTGCTCTTATGTATAATTTTACTATACTCTTATTGTATAATTTTACATAGGGAAAGACAAAACTGGGCTAATATTAACTTTAGAAAAAAGTAAGAAATGGTTAAATTGACAATGAAGTGGAAAAGATTACTCAAGAAACAGTTTTTGAATAACTAGTTAGTTATTTGGTAAAAAAAAAAAAAAAATCAAGTTATAGCTTTATATAATACCAAAAATAAACCAAACCAAACTCACTGCCATCAAATTGATTCCAACTTATGGTGACCCCCATTAGGTTTCTGCAGTGTAGTAAATTACTTAGTATGGCTTTTCTACCCATAAGTCATTGTAAACTCAGTGGTGGAATGAGCAACTGAGGAGCTCCTGATTGTAAATGTTATCCACCTGGGTTATTTCTGTTGGGTGTGGCACAATGCAATGTTATGGGAGGCTCACTCTCAGGTGCTTAGAATTCTGTTGTTAGGATTGGTTGGTTTGGCCACTTGCTAAGCTCAAAAGGAGGCCTCCTAGAGGCAGAACTCTCTCTCTGACTGCTGGTTGAGGAAGAGGTGCTGCTGAAAGAGACACGTGCTGCTGGGAAAGGGATGCAAGAGACACGCATTGCTGAGTAAGACACCGAGGGACATGCATTGCTGGGGGAGAGACTGTGAGAGACTTGGCTTGGAGACGGTGGGCTGGGAGAGAAACTGAGCGTTTTTTTCCTGAACTTGAATTGTAGCCTGGTGCTTCCCTAATAAAC